TTTGCCACCCGACATATGCCACAATGCTGTTGTGCTTCAGGGGAAACATAAAATAGAAATGTTTCAGTGCAGAGGCGTGCGGGTGGAAAAGCGCCATTTGACTGCTCACAGGCAGGCACAACTGTTTTTGTCTTGTGACTTCTGAGGGTGGTTGGTTTCTCCAGATCTCTGTGGGGGCTGGACATAAAGAAAAACAGTCCGTGTGCACATGCCACTGTGTTTTGGTTTCTCTGTCTAGGTCACTGGACCAATGTGGGTGATTTATATATCTGGCTACTGTCATCTAAACGGCTTTAATGCCAGCCATAGGTCTGTTATGCTGAGTCACCTATAGGATTGAAGGAGTTTTGTTTATGTATTTAGGAAACACTTTTATTCAAAGCCACTTACAAAATAGAATATGTATATATATGTTTAATATGAGGAGGAATCAGACGAGTTCCTCTGATCCCACTCCAGGCCCAGCTGCAGAGTGGATAAGAAAATGTATAGATTTTTTTTTTTAAGTGCTAACTAAGTATGTTTACAGATTTCATTTAATGATAGTGTTGGTAAATCAGGACACAGTCCTCCTTCTGTTCTCATTTGGCAGCAGTACACTCATCTCAACATCTCATGTGAGATGTAACACACCCACAACAATGAGACGTTTTGTGTCACGTGGACATAGCCGTTCTGTCCGTAGCCGGAATGGATCAAAGCTTTTGACAATAGGAAATAAACAAAACTTTTCAGCATGAACATGGGGATGCCCAGGCCCCATGTCGTCTGCTTAGACGGACACTGAACACACAGGCTCCGGGGGACCAGGAAGTAATGACAACATGAGTTCCACATCATCCAGTTTTCTCTCGGGTGATGAAGTTTTATCATTTAAAAAAAATGACTTAAATGAATTTAATCAATTAAAAAAATATTTAATTTAAAATAAATTTCAGTCAGGTGACTCTGGCTCTGAAGTAAAACGCGTTGTGAATTAGCTAGACAGGTAGACTAGTGCTTTATGTCCCTCTCTGACATTATAGTTTTTTCAAAATGGCGGAACGCCATGGAAACCTTCATGGACTTACCTTTCCTGTGTATACAGATAGGAACTTCTTCGTCAGATCATTACAGAGGTTATTTTACACCAAATGAGGACCCATTTATAAATTATGAAAATGATTTCAGCTAATAAAATACTTAAAATGCTACACAATGTCCCCTTAAATTGGGCTGACAGTCACTGCCTGCAGGTGGTCGGCCCCTGTCACGGGACACGAGCCCGCTTTGTCTCCGCGTGTCACGTAATGCTCGTCTCTCTGTCCGCAGGCTCAGGTGTTCGGGGCGGGCTACCCCAGCCTCGCCACCATGACGGTGGACGACTGGTACGAGCAGCACGCAAAGCGCGGCGCTCTGCCCGACCAGGGGATCCCCAGGAGGGCCGCCGCCGCGGAGGGGGAGGGGGAGGAGGACGCCGACCCCCAGGACAGGGAGGAGGAAGAAAAAGAGAAGCGGGTCGAAAACGACGACGAGGAGGCTCTGCGGAAGGCCAGGGAGTGGGACGACTGGAAGGAGGATCACCCCAGAGGTTACGGAAACCGCAAGAACATGGGTTAAGTGGTCCCCCAGCGGAGGGGCAGCACAGACCCGCTCAGTAACCGCTCCCCCCGCCGCCATCACGGGCGAGCTGCCACACGAACCTCGTCTTTAGATGACGGACAGGAAGATTTGCAGGGGCCGGTCTCCGTGGAACCGGGACCAGGAAGGCCCGCAGATGACTTTCTCGCGGTCCCTGCCGAGTGCCTCTTCTGACTGAGTTATGCCAACCCACCACCCGGTGTCACGTCTACGATAACGAATCACGATGCGGCATTTGGCTCCCAGCTGTACAAAATGCTTTGCCGTTTACTCAAAGAAACAAGTAAGGCTAAACGATGACCGTCTGTCCGATACCTGGCTCGGGAGAAACCCGACGCCCTTCAGTGATTCATGCATTTGTCTGTTGGTTTCGACATGGCTGGAGCTGTCAATAAAGATGGAAACCAATGCTCTGGTTCCTATCCACAACTCTGTCAGTGAATGTTTCTGATGCTGATGTGTGCTCAATGTTCAGATGCAGATTCAATACACGTCCCTTTTTTTTTTATTCCAATCACAAAGCAGGGACAACTTAGGTCCCACCCCTGTCTGATGGTGGACTGGGTCCAGGGGCACTTTGTACGGTTTTTGTGTTTTTTTTTTTTCTTTTTCTGTCTAAACCAGGGGTTTCAAACCTCAGTCCACTTTGGGCCGCTGTCCTGCAAGTTTTAGACATTTTCCTGCTTCTGCACACCTGATTCTGACTCCATTAGATCTCCTCTGGACATTGTTTAGCTCATGTTTAGGCCTGCTAGAGGCTCTACGATGTTACTCAGGTGTGTTGAAACAGGGAAACCTCCAAAACCTGCTGGTCAGCGTCCAAAGAGGACTGGTGTTTGACACCTCTGGTCTAATGGATCTTTTTCCTTTTAGGGGTATTTTATATTTCTTTGCTCTTCCTTCTTCGTCTGTCAGGTTTTTCAACAAAAATAAATAAGTGAAGCAGCCTTGGATAGCCGAGGGGGCGGCTTCTCACCAACAAAACCTCCCTTTGGCAAAGCAAATATGTTCAGCATAGCACGGTACTAGGGCCATGGTTAAAAAAAAAAGAAGAATGAGCTGGTGTATCCTATGCTAAAAAGAAGAGATCGTAGGCAAACCGCCACAGCTCCCGGCCTGATCCGCTGATGCTCACACACCTTTGGGCAGCGTCGTTCCTCAGACAGGTTCCGTTTGACTGGACCTTGTCTCCACCAGGTGGGTCTGTGTATACTCCGGTATGTGTTGCTTGCCTGCCCATTTGGAGCTTGTCTAAATAATTAATTAATTCATTAATTCATTCAGGGACCTGCTTTGTATGTTGGTTCAAATATTCCCATAAGAATACACTCATTTGTATAATTCGTTCCACAGCCCAAAAACCTACGATAACTCCTTAATAAATACTGCAGATAATTACACATAGCAATTAAACAAATGCATTATATAAGAGAGATGTAAAAAGAAATAAATGATAAAGAAATGATCAATAAAAAGGGTTTTTTATTGGCACTTATTGGCGAAAGGAGGTAGAGGTGGTGACTGAGATCCAGCACGTACTATAACTTACTCTAACTTTCACTACGTGAACTTTAAACTGACTTAGCTTATTTATTTTTATTAATTTTTTTTTTACGACTTCAACGTCATGTTGGACATTTATTTCGGGTGTCGAGTTTAATATTTGATCGAATTTCACTTCGGAATGTTGGAAAATTCGTATGTTTGGGCATTCGTAAGTAGAGGTTGTACTGTACATGGTCACATTTAGGACGAACTCAAGGGAGGCCAATATCTTAAAGCCAAGGAAAATCTGAATTTTCCCAGCTATGAATCAGTGGCCCCAGCGAGGACTTCCTCCTCCATTCTGAATGGCAGATAACTAAAGCCAGTCTGACTAAGGGCGTGTTCACCGGCCTAGGTAAACTGGTATGCTTTCAGCTGTTTGACCATTAGAGATAAAAAGACTCAGGCGATGGTTTTGGGTGGCATCCAGTGGCGGCTGGTGACAAAAAATCTTGGTGGGGCTGGTGTGCCAAT